TTTTTTTTACTTATGGTTCCTAATTTACTGCTATGATAGTTTAGGGGCACGCCGCGTGCGTTGACTTCGCGTAACATGACATTTATTGCCTGTACCACGACACTTCATGAGATAGGCAAGCTACTGTATATGTCGCGTAGCAATTTCAAATCGATGGCTAGAAATAAGTCTATAGCATGCGATTAAACTTGACGATAGTCAAAATAAAAGCCAAATGTCTAAGTAGGGAAAAGATTGCTGCAATCGCGTCGAGAACCATAACATTGGAAGGCTTCGTCGGCATATTTTTTTCGTTTTTCAAGTTTTAAAATTGGGTTCAACAAGCTACCGACAAGTCAGCTCAGATCAGAACGGTTAAGAATAAGAGGTAGAAATAAAAGATGATAGCGAACAATTTCCCTCAGTTGAGATGACCAACCAATGGCAGAGTGAGACTAAAGTGAACAAGAGGGTTTCCAGAAACAGGCAAAAAGATTCACTGTGCGAATGGGTGGCGCTGCTAGTCTCTTTCTGAATTATCTACCGATAAGTCGGCTCAGATCAGAACGGCTAATCTGTTATAGCACGAAAAAGAGGTAGAAATAAAAGATGGTAGCGAACAATTTCCCCTCAGTTAAAACGGCTAAGTCGCAAGTAGACAGTACAATAAATATCAATAAGTTCCATATAGGGAAAGCAAGTTTATGAAACAGGCCTACCTTTCTAAGCAGGGCATGCGATTTTCGCGCGGTCTGCTCTTCGTGGTCATGCGAGGCTGAGGAAGTGAGATGGACGAGCAGCTGGGGAAACAACGGAAGAAACTTGCTTGGACGGACATTCATGAGATGTCCTTCAAACTCCGTCAACCAGCGGACAGAAAGGACGACTGTGGTCTCCTCTGAACCCGTAAATCCACGTTGAATTGATTGGTCAAACGAACTCAACCAGAGAGACACGAGCCTGTAGACCTGCATAAAGAAAAAGAAGGCAATATTGTTGGTTGCTGTGGAATCAGACATATGAGTGGCCGTAAAATTTGCCGAAACGACGTTGGTCAATGGATGGTAACAAATATGACTCGGTAATAGGAAAAAGTTGCTCCTGACACAGTAATCAACCATGGGAAAAATAAGCGTTACTAAAAATTATTAAGTAACAACATTAAAAGCAACCACAGACTCACCTTCAGATTGTATCTATCACCAAGCGCCAGGCACCGACCGTAGGAGAGGAGAGCGGTAGAGAAGTACGAGTGCATACCCGTGAAGAGATTATCCAGTTCCACAGCTTCAAGCGTCGACTGGCGTTGAAGATTCCGCAAATAACGGCTAAAGCACAAAGGGAGCAGCAGCAACAACATTAGTTTGGCGAACATGCACTGCACAGTATAGAGGTAAGAAAACGGCCAGGCGAAGAACACAAACCTCTTTTTGTCAACCTCAGACAGGTAGGTAGTTTCTGTGTCGGCGGACGTCAGCAGTTCGCGACGGGCCGCAAACTCCGGCGATTTGAGGTACACAGTCAGAGATTTAAACTGGGCGTCCGCAAAGTCCGCCAGCGTGGCTAGAGCATCAGCGGAGCTGTAAAGCGCCGTAGGACTGTCCCAGAGGGCTGACCAGCCATCAGCCAGCTCAACAGCCTACATAAGACGAAAAATGTAGAATAAACAATGACATCGAAAGAGAGTGAAGGCTACTAGGTATCATGAGCTAAAAAAACACAGAACAAAAGAAGAAATGTAGTTACTGGTTTGAGGTACTGGGTGATAAGATCGGCCCAACTCTTTGTACGCGAATCTGCCAACCAATGGCAGAGTGAGACCGAAGTAGACAAGAAGGTTTCCAGAAGTAGACAAAGAGATTCACTGCGTGAATGGGTCGCTTCGCCCGTCGCCTTCTGAATTATCTACAACAAAAATGCAAGTGTAATAGAACTAAGAGCAGGAGTACCGAAGGAAACGAGGTGTATGGAGAACAGTGTTTTAACAGACTTTGCAGCACAGCTCAGCAAAAAGAACTGAACGTGAGACGATAATTTTTAAATACCTAGAAAAATAATATTATGAAAAAGGACACTCAATTAAAAAATTTCCCCCTGAGATAGAGCATCCCAAGCTTGAGAAAGAGGATAGCAAAGGTATGGCAGAGCTGCTAAAAAGGAAATACCGTACACAGAAAAAACGCCTGAGGGGACGAGGGCAGTCCCAATTCTCGTAATTTTCTTAAATAGACAGATAAGTCAGAGGAAGTGTTCATAGGGACAGGTTTATTTGATATCTGACATGTCGGATAGTTGTTTCGTCTATCCACCTTCAGAAAGAGTCAAAAAATGGTCGCTGAAGTGACTAACATGACTCGCGGTTAGGCTGCACGATAATCCGGTTCACAACCCTACTTCATGCCGGTTTGCGAGTGATTATCATTCCTTCGAAAATTTCGGCGTTTTGCATGACTTCCTGCCCGTACTGTACGCTTAGTCTTGTACCATACGAAGTCGGCTACAGGTCTAATTAAGCCACTTAATTTGAACCTCAAACTGCCTCATAGTCTACGTAAGATAAAGGTATCACTGCAACCCTGCTTACATTAATTTGAGAAAACAAACGATCCTAATAAGCCGGAAGAAGTTTAGTCTGGTAGTCCACTTTGTCGGAGCTAACGGTATTATGAAACACTGATCCTCACTCATTTTCCCAGATCCCAAAAATAACTATAATGTCATGCGCCCGACCATCCGCAAGGCTTAGGATCAGCAGGGACCAAACAAACAGCACCACAGACATAAGAGACCCGTTACCATTGACAGAATAATCAGCCGTGATCTGCAGCATACCATACCAAAACTGTGATGCCGACGGAACGAGCAGACGCCTTAGCACAAGGTTGCATGAGCATCAACAGGCGATCAACCACAAGGATAAGCAGTCTTTGGTCTATGAATACGCACAGCAGAAGAACCACGCTTTCGCCTTTGACAAAGTAAGGGTAATAGTCCGAGCCAATGACAATGTGGCTAGATTGCCGCTGGAAAATTGGTTTTCGACTGGCAAACATAACAGGGTCATAGACCTTCATCCCGCGTATCGGGCGTTACGCACATAGTTCGAGTCAGTTCGAAGAAGGCCAACAGGAAGGCAAAGCAAATCCAAGCGTGGACTACAACCAGGGTTAGGAAAAATAGGGTAGGAGGTGGCCAGGAACCCCGCGACCAGCGTGGAACGCTATGTCACCGCCACGCCCACGAGATTGAAATCAACTCACAGGGGCAGTAAAAACTGATTAGTCCGTCGACCGACGAGGGGTAGGCCAGTCAGTACGCCGAATTACGAAAGCCGCAAAGGGGGCAAAGGTCACACGAGCCCACCAGCGAACAGGCAGGTCAAAGTTCGTGCGTCGGGCACAGATATAATACGAAGCAGCAAGGCTGAAACAGTCCCGGCAAATAGGAGCAATCACCTAGTTATTCTGGCGATGGAGCCGAGCAAGTGTCCGAGACGTCAGTCTTAATATAATTCGGTACATTTCCTCGTACTGTCTTTTCCAGCTTCCTTGAAGTATGATGAAAACGACAGGAGAGAACGCCCAACAATTAGAACAGCTGGTAAAGAGGCCAAAAACAGATCAACTGTGCGTGAACGAAGACTTTAACCAAAGGGTTGGCCTTACGTTTGAGAGATGAGAGAGCACCGTAGAGAGCTGAGTGTTAGCAAAGGCAACTTCTCCACGCGCGCGATCGAGCTTGGCGCAGACACGGCTCCGCAGCAGAGTGTGCCTGATGTCCAGCGGCGAGGGGGACTGGTGGTCAACAGGTGAGAGTGCTGCTGTTGACGGACAAGAGTTCAGTAGCTGACTGGCGTAGAGCAGGTGACAGGCGCGTTCCGTGTCCACCACAGCCTCCACCAGAGACAGGCGAGAAAGCTGACTGAGAGTCAACTGCGAGCTAGCCGAACGCGGATTACTGCCTTCTAGGAGTAAGTGTCCCAGGCGGAGGGAGGCCTCCAGCAGGGAGAGACAGCTTCTAGTGCGA